CCCCCTCTGTGCTTCGGTGTATATACATTTCAGCGTGTTTCACGGGGCTCTTGAGTTTCTCCTGCATATTCACCCCTACCACACCAGAGTATCGCGTTAAGGGAGTGTGCGAATTAGGGGTTTCAGGATTCGAGAAGGCTTTATAATTCTGCCGCTTATTAATAATAATTTTGTTCGTTAGCGACTGTAACGTATTGCGAGTATGAAATTACTGTAGCTCAGGGGCAAAGTAAACTTGCTAATGTATGCAATGCCAATTAACGCACCAAAGGATCAATGACTCGGCTAGCCACGTTCATTGGGAACTCAGCTTGCGGGCTGGACGATTCGATTTAGTTAGGTAACTGACACATAACTGGCGTGCTCAGATTCGATTCGTATTCGATATCAGCCCTAATTATTGGACACCGGTTATGTTGCAATCTTGAATAACGATAATAGAGAATTCTTGTAAGGGGTTACGAGTTCTTTCATACCAGTAAATATCATAGGACAGAACAATTAGAGAAGCTTGTAGGAGGAGTAATGAACGCGATATGCGTTCCATCGGACGGAAAAAATAATTGGAGCTTTTCTTTTCTAGGATCAAGAGGTAAAGCCAGACCCTGCTTCTATTTTCTGAAGGCATCAATTAATCAGAAGGTGACGAAGGAGGGGATGGAACATATTGTGAGAAGACAAAGCTATAGGAAAAAAAAAGGTATAGGAAGTTGAGGAAGAGGAAAAACTATAAGGGAAGGTGAATGTAAAATATCGAAACGAACAGGTTTACCTTGAGATATTATTAAGTGAAACTTGTGGTAAAATCTTAGGTATTGATAATCAGGAAAAGATTAACTCGCGAGGGCAAAAACCCTTAAACCGGAAGTGCCGGAGATTTGTAATTGTTACAGTTCTATCTAAATCCGAAATCTAATTTTTCCTGTAAATCTCAACACTATCGGTTGTGCAGTTCGTCCAGAATTTTTCATACAGATATTTGCCAGAGCTCGCACACGTATGAACACACACATTGGCATATCCTTTTTAGGATGGCGATTGCGTAAGACACTCTCACGTGGTTATTTTTCGGTTTTGCCCAGAACGGAATATTACGTGAAAAGAATTTCATTGGCGAATTCGATGGCGAACTGCCTTTATGATTTTTCTTATTCCCCTTCGTTAGTGATATTAAAGCTTGCGCACCGAGAGAGCGTGAGAGCTAATAGGATCCAATCTGCCATCCGGTAAATGATTTAGTTCCCACTCAATAGATAGGCCAATGCAACAGGCAGTTCACAAACGTTGATAGAGCCGATTTAATTACTGACTTGAAGCAGCCAAATTATCACGCACTGCCTCAATAATTAAAGATTCAGAATTATTTCGTTGCGCAGTCTAGTCGATACGATTGGATTCAATAAAGAAATTAATGTTCAATCTAGTAGGAATGACATATATGAACAAAAAATGTGAACAGGAGCATCGTTATATGAAATTTGAACAAGTGTCAATTCATCCCTAATAACGGTAGGCTTGAGAAAACCCTAACACAAGTATCTCGAACTCTTTTGTCTGCAGGGAATCTACGGCATGACCTGGTTTATTATAATGCCTTTTTCAAAGGAAGAAACTGAAAGATGAGAAACAACACGAATTGGGATTGCCGAAGAAAGAAGAGTCTTTAAGTTTCGAAGCAAATAAGGATGTCAAAGGAAAGGGAAAAGTATAGCAGTAAGTGCCGAGGAAATATTGAAAAGTTGGTGAATATTTTTCATTGAATCTTGAACAATTTGCCAAACCATTATCAAGATCACCACTATTCTCTAAAAGGAGATGAATTGATCACGATCTCTGTATAAGTATGAAAAAAAGGAGAATGGCTTTTGCGACGAAGGCTACCCTTGAATCGAATGGCCAGCGGTTTGTCCTCGCTGGGAGGAATCCTTTCTTAGGAAAGATTCTTACCCATGTAATCCAGATCGGCGCGGACCTGGTTCGCGAGGTGAGCCATTATGCAAATCGCTGCGAATTTCCAGCACATGCTTGCACAAAGAATTCACTTGTCTCTCGCAATAACATTGGAGAATTATGGAGACGTTACGGAAACGAGATTACATTGAGGATTAACCATTTACCATTTATATTATCCACTAAAGTTTGACTCGAGCTATTCTTGTACATTTAATAAGATCATTTACATTGATATTTCATTCCATAATAAATTTCATATAGTTTAAATACTTTAGTCTCTCTCTCCCTTCCTTATACTTTTAATTAAATTCATCCAATCAATTCGATACTCTCTTGATATTCTTCTCCTCCCGATGTCGAGGTACACAGGGCTTCTTATTCCAGGAAATGAAAGATCTCTCTCACTCGTACGATCAGTAAAATGGATCAGTATTAGATATTATCAGTATTACCGTAAAGGTAGCCGCGAACAAAGCGATTCCTCCCGTGTCGATCGACCAAAAGAGTTTAACAGGAATTTCGTTTACGTTCCGTGAAAATTAAACCAATGACGAATCTACGTCTATTTATATTTTCTTCAAATTAATCTTCTCGCCCAAATTCCTCTCACTTTGATAATTAGCTATGATGGAATGCGTCACTCGAGAGATTTCACTCCTGGGATAAATGCCACAGCAACTTGAATAATCACCAATATTTTAATTGGTGGATAAACTTCGTTTTGACCCGTCAACGCGTTTTTAGTAATAACATTACCGAACCGTATGTACAATTATGAAATATAAAGTTAGACCCTATTCCGTTCACATGGAATTATCAAATGTAACGAAACACTAAATGGACTTGCATCGATAGTAAATAATCGTGGCCGTTCAATTTTTTTCAGGATACGAGAACGAGCGGCATCCGTACGTCGACGACGTCGTCGACGTCGGACGGGCAACTGTTCCGTCTCTCTACAGTAACTCCACTGTGCTCTCGACGCTCCTTCTCTTTCGATCCTCTACGTTCCCACTGAGTCTACATCTCTCTCGTTCATTCAGACTCTGCGCACTGAAGCCCTCAGGATACTATCTACGTATACCGTACGAACTAGCATCTACAGCCTATTGGCTAGGGCAGTTCGAACCCCTTGAGGGAAAGTTGCATCGTGCCAAAACACTGGCTAAACCCGTAGCTCACTTAAGTATGGAAAAGCCAAAGCACGGCTTGTATCGCGTCTCATTAACCCACGGGATTAACCCTGGAATTCTTTTCGTGCTTTTATCGTTGGGCACCTTCGTTAACGTTATAATATTACGTTTTAACATTTTAATGACACTAGCGTTACCTTATTTAAACCAGCACTTTCCGCATTTCTCGCTTCGTTCTGTCAGAGCGTTATTAAGTTCTACGTAATGCAACTAAACTGTTGAAAATTCTATGCTCCACGGAGTGCTTCACTCGTTTCTCGCTGCGTTATATTATAAGCTTTCCGTTGGTAGTTGATTAAAAATGGATTAATATCGCTAATGAATATTAATCTCACGCACGGCTGTTCAAAGTAACTCACACACGCTCTGCCACTTTTTTTTTAATTGAAACACGTTATACCTAAAACATCAATATTTTACATTTGGATATTTTGTTCCCCTTTTTCGTTCCTTTTAATTTGTTCGCCTCGTTTTTCAAGCGGGTTACACAACTTTTAGGTACATTTAATTAAAATTGTATTCGAGGCATTACTACCGGGCCCTGTGCCACAGTTTTGGCTCGGAGCTTGAGTAATTCATTTTAAAAAAAACTTCAGATTGCATCGGGTCATTGTCCCTTGACATTGTTATGTGTTCCTCAAATATTCCCAAGTACCCTTAAATGTTACAAGTATAACTATCGTAAAGATTTAATAGTACAAGGACATTCGGTCAGCACTTTTTTTACGTGAAGGCATTTCGATAGAAGTATTATATTTTTTTTTAAATGTCCCGTAACGGCTGTCGTCGGTTGAGTTGATAGTTGAAAAAAAGTGAAACCAGTATTACACAAAATTTAGTTCCGTATCCTAGTGTATCTCCGTGTGCAAGTTACCTTCACTTTTTGTCTCCATTTTAAATTCATGCAAATACCTTCCTCTTCACGTTATTTCAGACTTGTCCCAATCGTCCCTTTCAAGATCCTTTTTATGATGCCACATGAAACTCCAACTGTATGGAGACCGTCGCGAGTTGGGACGATTAGCGGCTTTATAAAGTTTCTCTGTCAGTGGTTGGTAAGCCGTAAAAGTCTATGGGAGTCGGCGGGGTAAGGTAAGTACTGCGATGTTTATAGGGAACTATTCTTGAAGGAGGCTTCACATAATCTGCTCGACGAGCGTTGTGACGATACTTTGACCTGGCTCTTACCCAATTCTCGAAACGTTTTCCACCATCTTCCACTTATTTTTCCACTCGCAGTTGTTCCTTCCTCCTTCTTCTGAACCTCTATTTGTTTTCTTTATCTTCAATATTTTTCACAGAATTTCAACTAAACCTTTTCTCCTCCCTGTAGCCTCCACTCCGCGACTTGTCCTCGGTGGCCTGGCAAATCTTTTTCATGGTCTAATTACTCCGTCGGATACCGGACGGCGGCGCACTATGTTCAGTTGAAAATTACTGAGAGTCTCTTTTTTTCCTCTCATTTTCTTTCCTCGCTTACGCTCACTTCTTACGTGCAGGCAGCTTTGACAAACACGGAGAACTACAGAAAAACAATTTTACTTCTGATTACACCTTCAGGTCCCTAACAGGTACACGTAACTGTTACAACGGAAGATCCGGACGTCTTCAGTAAATTCCATTCGGGTAAATGGGAACGAAGAAAGGAGATATAAGATTAAATTAGGCTACAGCGCAAGAAGAACGTATTAATGTTCTTGTAAAATTTATCCATTAACGTCCCATCCAGTGAAAAGTCGTCGAAGGGTCTTTTAGAGCAATGAAAGTATGAGATGAGTTAATGGAAACAGATAACTCGCAAGACGTATAAGTGGCAGCGTGATGGGAAAAGATAGCGAGGCGAGAGAATGGAGGAGCAGTAAGAATTTATCCATAAAAAGTAGGGGAGACCATTGAATTTGGCTGAGAGCGAAATTAATTCCTTAAAATTTTGGGACGTTTGTATTTCTCCCACCGATAGCGCAATAGACTCAGGTTCCGGTGGGCCTAGACGTAAAGTTCAGGAGATTCCTGGCTTAACCCAGATGAAAGGAAACGCGAATATAAACAAAGGCGTAGATACTCAGAGAGGTCTGTGCCCTCGTTGTTGATAGAATTTCATAATACCGCCCGAGGCAGTACTGTTCGCAAATTGCCTTCGTGTTATATTTCATCATTTCACAATACCGGCTCGTCAATATCATCTCTTCTTATTTTTATGGCTGCTGCCGTTCCTCGAGGACGCTTGAGTAGTCTACGTGGATTTCGAAAGTTTCATCTGACGCTGACTGAGGACACCGTCAATGCTACTACTACTACTGCTGCTACTATGAATTCTACTGCTGCTGCTACTACTACTAATACTACTACTGCTACTAGTATTAATACTACTGTTGCTGTTACTACTTCTACCGACAACACCTCAACCCCCATTACCACTGTTACCAGGAGCAGCATCTATCGCGCTAACTCTGCCTCCGTCCTTGCGTTCCTCGCTTTTCTGAAAATTCATTGGGAATTCCAATTTAAGTGTAAGAACTTGCAGACGGGTGCCAGCTTGCAATATGCCACCAAGCTCCTTTGGCCACGATAAAGTTGTTGAGGAATTATTTTCCGCCCACCTCCTATCCTCAGGACTGATTCGTAAGAAGAAAAGTAGACGAGCAGTTGGAAATCTTGAAAATAACGTTTCTGCCAATATCTCAGGATTCCTTAACGATTTACACGAGGCTGACAAATAATTAGCTTTTGCTATGGTTTCCTATATTACAGCGACCCGGAATAATTTTTCAATAATTTTAAATTGATAAAAGGGGCGGTTATTGTACCGAATGGCCAATTCACCGAATCGTTGTCTGGCCGAATATACATATGTATCAAGAGGTTTCGCGACTTGGACTCGCTTGACTTTTAACGTACTTGTGCACTGGGCCAGCGTCTTTATAGGAAACAACAAATCTCTGGTAGAGAGCAAGAGATAGCTGGAACCACAACGCAGCAGATTGCACGATGAGTCCGGCGATTGCAAACCAGCTGATGATAAGGATAACAATAATTCAGAACCCACGTGTGATCACAATGATCCCAGTTGGCCGAACATATTATCCTTGGGAGGCTTTCTTAGTGATAAAGTGGGTCTGCACGTCTGACAGTTCTGTTATAATAACTAGGATGCACATTGATACCGGTATTTTAGGAGGTCCTTCCCGATACTAAGAGACATCACAATGATTCCTTAGACCTGGAGAGAACTGGGAGAGCTCAGACAGCTACTGATCACAATGACGTTGGGAGCTGAACTCTTAAGGTGCTTAATTTGGGTCACTTTCTGACAGCTCCGGAACGATGACTTTGCTGCTGAGAATCTAGAAAGGATAGCAAAGCTCCCGATACTTAGAGGAGACCCAATGCTCCCTGAGATCAGGAATACGTTATTTCAAGTAGGGTTAACGATTTTTGTTATCTCGAGGTGTTAACGTAGAATTTCGGTTTCATGTTTCATTTGATATTTTAATTTGACTAATTGAAATAGCGCTTACTTCGAATACCGACTTACTGGTGTTTCTATTGTGTTTGAGCATGCCGGCTCACAGCGCTTGGATGTTTGTTCGTCTTGATTCCAGTTGCCACGACTGCTTTTGAATTCTTGGAATATTAAATGTGATAATCTCTAATATTCTATTCTGTTCATGATTGCGCATATCACTCATTTCAAAGGAATTATATAATATTTGGGATTAGAGATTAAAGGTCCTATTCCTCTTTCCTTTATCGGCGTCGCTGTGAGAGATCGATAGGAGTTTTGAGGAATTCTAGGATTTTGGGAGTTCTTTTAGATACAATTATGCGCGTCCACAGTGCGCTATGCAATCTTATGTGAGGTTCTTGATGTATCCATTACGGAAAATGATTATTGGGAAGGAAAAATAATAAAAGATGCAGGAATATAATGATGAAATGTCACAATATATAAACCGTACGAAGAAATGAGGTTCGAATATCCAATTTTCATGGCAGAAAACGATTCGGTGAATTGAAGATGTGATGGAAATGATATGGCACCGATAAAAGGGATACAATTTAAAAAATTCTCATTCCTATAATTTTTCACTTCGCTTGTCACCGAAGTGGAGCATTAAAAATTATCGAAACATAGCGAATAAGCCGAAATCGCAAATCGCTATCAAACGGTCGTGTCTGATCAGTCGCTGCGACACGATGGACGAATGAGAAGTCCTAGCGGGCATCGATTCCGTCGGCTCGACATTCTGGACGCCGCTCGACTGTAAACTCGAGATAACCGTTGCCACAGTTTTCGCTTAGCTCGTCAAAATTTCCTAACGCCTCGCGAACTTTGTGGAATTCAGAGTTCAGAGTTCCGAATAACAGAACGCGACAGTTGGAAGACTGAGCGCTCCCAGCCCTTCCGACTGTTAACAACAAACGCCTTTGCCCTCTTTAATCTTTAAGGTCCATACTGCCGTTGGATCTTTGAATAGGATGGTAAGTAATACGCAGAAGTAAAAGGAAGGAAGGAAGAAAAAAAAAGTTACCAAGTATAATAGCACATTTTCACGCCAGCTAATTGCCCAGAAGTGTTAAAATATCTGTTTGCTTATGTCCTATTTGCTGATTTATTTTTTATATTTCTTTATCTTTCCTACTTTGTTTTCTTTCTTTCTTGCAAATGCTTTTCGCCTCTTTTTACTGCAGTCCTGTATATTCCAGATTTAATGATTCTGCAAAGTTCCTAAATAGCTTTTCCTGTCCCAATGTGACAC